TAGAGCTTGAGTTTTGTATAAACATTTTCTTTGCCTCGAAAGGACAATAATTAGGTGCATTACGACCATAACGAGGCTAAGCCACAAATAAATTAACATTTCAAGAGACCTCCGGTTACTGAACCCTAAAATATTCCAGGCAACATAAACCAATCGTAGGTCAACATGTTTGCAAGAAGACAGGAATTGAGCGCAGATCCCTTTATATCAAACGACTTTTGTGTTCAACCAATTCTGACACTTTATGTCGTGTTTGCTTTCTTGATTTGTAGTCACGTGTTTCCCCACATTCTTATTGTATAAAGGAGCCTCGTACAGCTCAAAGAATATTTAATTTCCCAAATTCATTAAGCCATACATCATGTGGAGAAAGTATGGTGTCTGTATTGTCGTTTTCTATGTAGCATATAATATAACAGTATAACGTGTATGATTATGATTAAAGCGAGTCCAATCATGTGAAAAAGAGAGGTGCTCAGAATGTGACTTACTTAATTTTATGGCACATGCAGGTAACTTTTTGGTTCTTGGCCGATTTGGTGAGAGTGATGTTACATAGGATCCGACCTTGTTAGTTGAGAGAAAATTTTGAATAGAGGATGTTAAAGGCCAAGTTATGTATGCATTATTAACTAGTTTCTTAAAACTTTTTAAGGAAAATCTTTAGAGCTAGCATAGTTGATCAATGCGTTATTTCCAGCTCGAAAATTAGAGGTCACCTGGCCGAATCCTGCCAACGGCATGCATAATCCTCTGAATTGGGGTCACTTACACTGGTCAAAGGTCTGGATTTAATCGGTGCATGTAACTTGTTGGGCATTGTATCATAAGATTTTAAGGGAAAAAGCATTCACAACGTGACATGTGGTCCCAACAAATGTATAACTTCGTCACAAGACAAGCATCTCTTACACGTTCCAATGCATAATATATTAGGATTCATTGCTTTTCGAGAAACACTATAGAAACTAATGTTTGATGAAGTCACTTCTTTCTCATTTCAATTTTTTCATTGTAAAAGCGAACATATATGGTTGTGTCGATCAATCATAATTACATGTATTTTACAACCTCATGGTTTAGGAGTAAGAGGGCTAGCTACTTAACTCTCTCCCCAATTGAAGTCATGTTGGTAAAGTGAAACTCTTGAAGTACTTCGTCAAAGCCCTTGTCCAACTCTAAAGTTTTACAATGATCCCATCGCCGAGGCCCTGCTGACTCTTTCTAGGAAGATCAACAATGAAGAAAAAGAAAATAAAATAAAAGAAAATTCTCAAAACTGCATCGTTTTGAGTAGAGTAGGATGCGTCAAATCGTCAACCATGATACATAGACAGTTATCGCTGACTGGACCGCCACGTCAGCAATTTCTCATATAAATTGGTTAGATAGACTACATTGAGAAATCTTTAAAAGGGTTTAGGATTACATTAACAAAATTGTAAAGTTTAAAATTGAATTGGCGGCCTTACAATAGGTTTAGGAATTTTTATAATTTTTTCCATCGATATGCATTCACATGCTCCCGACAAAATAGAAGTTTAAATTAATGAATTTGTCCTTACTATTATCTGGGGTCGGGAAATGTATAGTGGTCAACTTAAGCCCCCAAATTCAATGGACGGATGTCCGACTGTCTTCATTAATTGACAACCAACAACGAAACTGCCAAACTTGTCGAGCCTCTTGATGCAAAAGATTACTTACTTGGCCCAATGTCTGCGAGTGTCCAGGAAAATCATGGCTAAACGAAGTATTGTTTTTTTTTTTTTATAACCCGGGAACCCCCCCGCACGGCCGACAGCCGGAGAGGTAAACCCGGGGTGACGCTAGCGCAGGACCTACCACCACGACGTCACGCTTAAGAATCCCTAACGCCAACGCTGGGATTCGAACTCCTTCCCTTCGTGAGGGGAAGAGAGCCCGAAGTCAACGCAGCCGCTGAGGGCGGTGGTAAGTATTGTTTATTGCACGTTTTTCGTATTTTGCAAAATTTTCGACACCACACATTGATTTGAGGATACGTAAAAAAGCATAAACAAAGACTTGAATTAAGAAGTCAAATATCTTATTGCCATTGAATCGAGCTCAGCTTAGAAATGAAGAAGCTAATACAACATCGATATAATGATGCAGTATCAATCATTTAAAATAAGGTGTCGTTATTTTCAATGAGTTTCCAAAAGTTGAAAACAAATGAGAATACTTAATTGAACAAGTGATATCCCGTCAATATGTCATGTGGTGTAAGTTATACAACATATTTTCTCCTTTTAAAGAGGATTACAAAGAGGAGGTTAATGATAAAATATGTCATGTGGTGTAGGTAATTTGTAAGTACATTGTCATTCACTCCAAGGTGATGTAACATAGTTTTGACATAGAACCTTATTTGGTCATGGAGTGTTCTTGAGATGATGTTCTCTAGAGAGATCTTGGGGTTATAGAACTTTGGCCCCCCTAAAAAAAACAGAGTATATCTAATTTATGTAGAATTCCATTGTTCTTTACCAAAAACTATGATTTTTTTCGCTGTGCTTATAATGAATTTCAATAATTGTTCCTAAGTGTAAAAAAAACACTGATAAAAAAATGGTTGGTGATATTTTTTTTAAAGTAACTTGTTGATAACTTACCGACATTTTCATGAAATTATTAAATTTTAAAGTTTGCAAATTAGTAATTTTTGTTCTAACTTATCAACTTTTATTACATAACATTACCAACACTTTAAATTTACTAATTTAAAATTACGAATCTAAATTAAAGGGTTTAACCAACTTTTGTCATATTAGATTAAGGACCACCCAGTTTTGAGTTGTCAAATCTCATTTAAGTAATTTACTAACATTTATTTCTTTCAAGTTACCAACTTTCCATTGAATTTTCCAATTTTTATTTGCCTTGGTTAGCAACCTAACATCTACTAACTCTTTTCAAAGATTACCAACCTAAATTAGCGTAACTCACAAACTTTTCTCCCTTTAAACTAACATATATCGGTGTTGACACCTATAATTAATTAGGTTATCGACAATCAAAATAAATAAAATAATAAAAGACGTCAAATGATGACGTAACCCATACGAGACGGCTCACGTAAGAAAAACAGCTAGCAAGCACTGGGTGATACCGGCGGGGAATTTGAAATTGAAAGAGCTTGAGTCATAAAAGGAGCGAGCGCCAAAGTTGTCGACAAAAATGGTCATATGGGATTCGAGTCATCGAGGCTGTCGACAAAGAAAAGGACAGGTGTCAAGTTAGGAAGAGCTCGACGATGGTTCCTGCTTCGTGGAGGATAGGTGTCAAGAAGAGAAGAACTCGATGACGATTATCACCCTCGGAAAGGACAGGTGTCAGGATGAGAAGAACTCGATGACGATTACTGCTTCGAGAAAGACAGATGTTAGGATAAGAAGAGCTCGATGACGATTACTGCTTCGAGGATGACAAGTGTCAAGACGGTATAAGCTTGATGACGGTTACTACCTCGAGAAGGACAGGTGTTAAGATAATATGAGCTCGATAACGGTTACTGCTTTGAAGAAGACAAGTGTCAAGACAATATAAGCTCGATGACGGTTACTACCTCGAGAAGGACAGAAGCCAGATGGTATGAACTCGACGACGGTTATTACCTCGGAACAAAAAGATAAGATCGATAGCAGTTGGCGAACAGATGTCATTAGATGGACGGTGATGATGAGATCAATGGCGATTATCAAACGTGGTATCAAAGGCAGTTACCAAGCCCATATTATAAATAGCACCCGGCTACCAAAGGAAAGCCCCCCGTGAACACAAACCAAAATGCTGTCTTTCAATTATCTTTACTTTCTAGTACCGTACCTTTAGTTTCCATAGCGTAGTTGTCTACTTCCTAAGCCAGTAGCTTTGTAATGTTGCATCATTGAACTTCGGACTCTGCCAGTAAGTGGACAAATTCGTCTGAATTATCTATAAATATAAGTCAAACTTCGTTACTGTGCGAAATTTGAGTTATTGATCAAGACAATCAAGCTATTTGTTCACGCCTGGATAACTCCTGTCCGGAATTAGACACGGAACCCGGTCTCCTCTAATTAAAAATTGAAGAACAACTTTCGGTGAATTATATTTCGTCACGGGAATGTTTCCGGCGAAAAAATCGGTTACCAATTCTCATTTGAATTAATTATCAATATTTATTAATTTTTTTAATATTTTCAAATTTTATAATCGTTTTAACTTTTATGTGCAAGCAACGCTTTAAATTTACCTACTTTTCTAAGAAATTATCAACCTTAATTAGAATAACTTACAATTTTTCTGTAATATCTACTAGTTTTGGATTACCAACTCAAATTTGAGTTACTTACCAAGTTTATTTATTTTAATTACCAATTTTTATTTATCTTTCTTAATTAAGCTTTATACCAACTTTTATATGAAATTAATAACTTCACTTTAAATGATTCATCGAGTTTTCTCTAACAAATTATCAACTACTTATGGGTTATCAACTTTCGAGTTAGTTATCAACGTAGGTTTGGATTTTTTTTTTAATTTACCAACTTTAATTCGAGTTAGTTACCATGTCACCTTGGCGTGAACGACGCCCTCAATTTCACAAAACATGTAGTCACCTGAAATGCATCAGTTAATAATATCTTTATTTTTTATAAACTTTTAATATTTATATATTTCTATCTTACAAAAATGTTCCCTAAAAGGTTAAAAAATTTCAGGGATGTGCATGTCCTTTTTTGAGATGCATTATAGTCGCATGATATAACAAAACTAACAAAATCATTATTGAAACTAGTCAAGATAACTACCAATTAATCTTATAAATATTTTACTTTTCAGGAGGGAATGTGAAATTCTCTCATAAATATCTTAAAACGCGGGGGGGGGTGGGTCGAGAAATAGAGGGAAACTCTTGATCTATTTCAACGAAGCGTTAGGCATTTCTGTCGATATGAATGCGAAGAGTTGATGCACCATGGAAGGATTTTGCATCACCCCATCAACTCAGCAACCCATTTAGAAAGCATTTCATCAGAAGTCCACCCGTTTTGATTCCCTCCATCTTCATTGCCTTCAAAGAGCTCAGAGTGCTGATTCTCGGACGTCCTCATATCCTCCACATTGAGGTCCATCATCATGTTTTCCCATGAAATCATGTCGTCCTCGCGATCTCCTCCCTGACCCTTTCCTTCAACCGGTTCTGTCATTCTATCTGAAACAATACCGTCTGTATTACCCGGCTTACTGTCACAATGCGAATTGCATCGTAATTCGACCGCCGCAGTCTCGTCCAGGGGCTTGTTCTTTGTGAGCTTATCATCCTCGCACTTTGACTTCATTGGTGGGTTGTCGTTGTCTTGGACTAGCTTCTTCTTTATGGTGGTATTCCAGTAATTCTTTATCTCATTGTCTGTCCGGCCAGGAAGCCTTCCCGCGATAAGAACCCACCTACAAGATAATAAACTAACACATGTTGGTGCCAATCTCTATAATGTCCTTTTGGAACTGAAAATGGCTTTGAGAAACAACATGGTCAAGTTCCTCTCTTTCGTTAAGGGTGAAGGACATTGTAAATTACCATAACCATCAATAACTCCTTCAAAGAACAATCTTTAAGGTATGATGAGCTCATCACCTGAAGTATACAAATACCTGTTACCCAGGAGCTTATGGAGCCTAATGATGAGCTCTTCTTCTTCAGGTGATATGTTTCCTCTCTTGACATCTGGTTTTAGGTAATTTAACCACCGGAGCCTACAGCTCTTTCCACACCTCTTGAGGCCTGCACATCAATTTTATCTATTATTTTCAGTGATTAGGAGATACAAAACAAGTAAGTATAAGCACATGATAGGATTTACTTTCATAAATGAAGGATACTTTTCCAAGAGGATAAAATGAAAGAAGAAATTTTCATACCATTTGCTATGGCTAAATAACTAGGATTCATTGAAAACTACGAAGTGTAATGTCCTGTACTTGAAATTTTATAGTAGGACTTTAGATGAAACTTATTCACTGGACTGCACACTGTGTAACGTGTTTACCCGTCGCCCATAAAAAATTTTCAGGCATTCAAGATCTATTGGAAAACAATATGTTGGACCTTATATTCATATATCGAATGCAGCATATTGGTGCACTTAGGGTGCGCATGGCAACGATTTTGTGCCCGGGAACTGATTCTACTCAGAAATAATTCTTTTTTATTCTATGCCCGGGAACTGATTCTGAGCATTTGAAGGCGTTTGATAACGGCCCAAAATTTCTATTCCTGAAATAATAAAAGAACATAAATGCGTTTGGTAACGGCATAAAATTTCTTTTTATTAATAATATTTTAATAATATTTTAAATATTTTAATATTTCTTTCTTTTCTTTTTTTCTTCTCCTCCTTCTTGGCCATGGCCGGTAAAATATTTTTTAATTAATAATACTTTTATTAAAAATAATTTTTTTATTTTTTTTGGCCATGGCCGGTAAAAAACTTCTTTATTAATAGTACTTTTATTAAAAAATAATTTTTTTATTATTTTTGGTCATGGCAGGTAAAATTTTTTTATTAATAATATTTTTTTCTTTTTTTTGGCCATGGCTGGTAAAATATTTTTTTCTTTTTTTTCCATGGCCTGGTCGCCGGCCATGGCCGGTAAAATATTTTTTTATTAACATTTTTTTATTAATAATATTTTAATAAAAAAATTTTTTATTGAAAATATTTTAATAAAAAATATTTTTATTGAAAATATTTTTTTCCTTTTTTTTTTGCCATGGCCCGGTCGCCGGCCATGGCCGATAAAATATTTTTTTATTAATAATATTTTTTTCATGGCCTAGTCGCTGGCCATGGCTGGTAACATAATTTTTTTTGTTCATGGCTGGTAAAATTTTTTTTATTTTAATCTCGCCATTTTAATCTCGCCATACGGCGAGGGTGGCCCTCGCGCCGGACATTAGAAGCTACATTAAAAACCAAGAAAAAGAAGAAGAAAAAAAAATTGATTCTCATTTTTGTTCCGAGAATCAAGAAACTACTTTTTTTTTATTCTTGATTCTGCTCCAAAACTGATTCTGGGCACAAATTTACAAGATTTTGTGCCCAGAATCAAAAAATTTAACAAACGGATTTCTGTTCCAAAACTGATTCTGATAATAAAAGAACAGAAATTTTCACTATTTTGCTAGTTGCCAAACAGGCCCTTAGTGAATTATCGGTATTTATCTAATAGATGGCACTCCTATCATTAACAGTACTGTTTTTGAACATTTACTGTTTTTTTTTTGTCCACATGGTAGTCTGCAAAGAGAAAAATAGAAAAAATCCCAAAGGTCGTAACTCACCTGTTGCCTTACGAACTTTATGCCATCTCCCTTGACCATGATCTTTGACGTAATCGATGAGGATTTGGTCTTCAACGACTGTCCAAGCTATTTTCTTGAACTTCAATCCATCTTTACCATTACTGGGGTTTCTGCCCATCTCTCTCTCTGTCTCTCATTCTAATGGTAACTGTCTTGACGATGACTGATTTTGTAGAGACTGTTTCGTGTGCCATTGACGTGAACACAGCTTATTATATTGAATCACTCTGTCCTCACTTAGAGAAAGAGAGGGAAAAAGAATTGTTACCTTAAACAGAACAGCAACGTGCATGAAACATTAATAAATTATGTATACCGGGAAACCAAAAGCTACTTTTTTGAGACACTCACTTGCAATTTTGATATACTAAGTGGTATCGAGTAAAAGTATGGTTTTGACCGGTAGATATGATTTTCCTATAAATCAAGGACAAGATCTATTTGTTTTGAACTATTAGAATGGTGGTTGGTTGTACACTCATGAAATTTTTCTATGTAAATACACTCATAAGTTCATTGCATTCAATGAATTTTTAAAAGACCCGGACCAAAAGGTTGTGACTGATGACACATAATTGCTTTGGGATCGGTAGAAATGCTCAAAGGCTCCAAAGATGATTTTAGTGGGCCCCGCTTCAAGTGGGCGCCCAGCACCTAAATCGAGGTTAACACAACATTGTAATGCTTAATCACAACTTATAAATGTAAACAAGTAGTTACATACTGCTTATGTCAAACACATGAATGTATTCATAAAACGATAAAACTAAAAATCAAATTCTAAGCTAGAGCTTGAGTTTTGTATAAACATTTTCTTTGCCTCGAAAGGACAATAATTAGGTGCATTACGACCATAACGAGGCTAAGCCACAAATAAATTAACATTTCAAGAGACCTCCGGTTACTGAACCCTAAAATATTCCAGTCAACATAAACCAATCGTAGGTCAACATGTTTGCAAGAAGACAGGAATTGAGCGCAGATCCCTTTATATCAAACTATCTTTGTGTTCAACCAATTCTGACACTTTATGTCGTGTTTGCTTTCTTGATTTGTAGTCACGTGTTTCCTCACATTCTTATTGTATAAAGGAGCCTCGTACAGCTCAAAGAATATTTAATTTCCCAAATTCATTAAGCCATACATCATGTGGAGAAAGTATGGTGTCTGTATTGTCGTTTTCTATGTAGCATATAATATAACAGTATAACGTGTATGATTATGATTAAAGCGAGTCCAATCATGTGAAAAAGAGAGGTGCTCAGAATGTGACTTACTTAATTTTATGGCACATGCAGGTAACTTTTTGGTTCTTGGCCGATTTGGTGAGAGTGATGTTACATAGGATCCGACCTTGTTAGTTGAGAGAAAATTTTGAATAGAGGATGTGTTAAAGGCCAAGTTATGTATGCATTATTAACTAGTTTCCTAAAACTTTTTAAGGAAAATCTTCAGAGCTAGCATAGTTGATCAATGCGTTATTTCCAGCTCGAAAATTAGAGGTCACCCGGCCGAATCCTGCCAACGGCATGCATAATCCTCTGAATTGGGGTCACTTACACTGGTCAAAGGTCTGGATTTAATCGGTGCATGTAACTTGTTGGGCATTGTACCATAAGATTTTAAGGGAAAAAGCATGCACAGCGTGACATGTGGTCCCAACAAATGTATAACTTCGTCACAAGACAAGCATCTCTTACACGTTCCAATGCATAATATATTAGGATTCATTGCTTTTTGAGAAACACTATAGAAACTAATGTTTGATGAAGTCACTTCTTTCTCATTTCAATTTTTTCATTGTAAAAGCGAACATATATGGTTGTGTCGATTTACATGTATTTTACAACCTCATGGTTTAGGAGTAAGAGGGCTAGCTACTTAACTCTCCCCAATTGCAGTCCTGTTGGTAAAGTGAAACTCTTGAAGTACTTCATCAAAGCCCTTGTCCAACTCTAAAGTTTTACAATGATCCCATCGCCGAGGCCCTGCTGAATCTTTCTAGGAAGATCAACAATGAAGAAAAAGAAAATAAAATAAAAGAAAATTCTCAAAACGATGAGTAGGATGCGTCAAATCATCAACCATGATACATAGACAGTTATCGCTGACTGGACCGCCACGTCAGCAATTTCTCATATAAATTGGTTAGATAGACTACATTGAGAAATCTTTAAAAGGGTTTAGGATTACATTAACAAAATTGTAAAGTTTAAAATTGATTTGGCGGCCTTACAATAGGTTTAGGAATTTTTACAATTTTTTCCATCGATATGCATTCACATGCTCCCGACAAAATAGAAGTTTAAATTAATGAATTTGTCCTTACTATTATCTGGGGTCGGGAAATGTATAGTGGTCAACTTAAGCCCCCAAATTCAATGGACGGATGTCCGACTGTCTTCATTAATTGACAACCAACAACGAAACTGCCAAACTTGTCGAGCCTCTTGATGCAAAAGATTACTTACTTGGCCCAATGTCTGCGAGTGTCCAGGAAAATCATGGCTAATCGAAGTATTGTTTTTAGTTTTTTGATAACCCGGGAATCCCCCCGCACGGCCGACAGCCAGAGAGGTAAACCCGTAGTGACGCTAGCGCAGGACCCACCACCACGACGTCACGCTTAAGAATCCCTAACGCCAACGCTGGGATTCGAACTCCTTCCCTTTGTGAGGGGAAGAGAGCCCGAAGCCAACGCAACCGCTGAGGGCGGTGGTAAGTATTGTTTATTGCACGTTTTTCGTATTTTACAAAATTTTCGACACCACACATTGATTTGAGGATACGTAAAAAAGCATAAACAAAGACTTGAATTAAGAAGTCAAATATCTTATTGCCATTGAATCGAGCTCAGCTTAGAAATGAAGAAGCTAATACAACATCGATATAATGATGCAGTATCAATCATTTAAAATAAGGTGTCGCTATTTTCAATGAGTTTCCAAAAGTTGAAAACAAATGAGAATACTTAATTGAACAAGTGATATCCCGTCAATATGTCATGGTGTAAGTTATACAACATATTTTCTCCTTTTAAAGAGGATTACAAAGAGGAGGTTAATGATAAAATATGTCATGTGGTGTAGGTAATTTGTAAGTACATTGTCATTCACTCCAAGGTGATGTAACATAGTTTTGACATAGAACCTTATTTGGTCATGGAGTGTTCTTGAGATGATGTTCTCTAGAGAGATCTTGGGGTTATAGAACTTTGGACCCCCTAAAAAAAACAGAGTATATCTAATTTATGTAGAATTCCATTGTTCTTTACCAAAAACTATGATTTTTTTCGCTGTGCTTATAATGAATTTCAATAATTGTTCCTAAGTGTAAAAAAAACACTGATAAAAAAATGGTTGGTGATATTTTTTTTTAAAGTAACTTGTTGATAACTTACCGACATTTTCATGAAATTATTAAATTTTAAAGTTTGCAAATTAGTAATTTTTGTTCTAACTTATCAACTTTTATTACATAAAATTACCAACACTTTAAATTTACTAATTTAAAATTACGAATCTAAATTAAAGGGTTTAACCAACTTTTGTCATATTAGATTAAGGACCACCCAGTTTTGAGTTGTCAAATCTCATTTAAGTAATTTACTAACATTTATTTCTTTCAAGTTACCAACTTTCCATTGAATTTTCCAATTTTTATTTGCCTTGGTTAGCAACCTAACATCTACTAACTCTTTTCAAAGATTACCAACCTAAATTAGCGTAACTCACAAACTTTTCTCCCTTTAAACTAACATATATCGGTGTTGACACCTATAATTAATTAGGTTATCGACAATCGAAATAAATAAAATAATAAAAGACGTCAAAGGATGACGTAACCCATACGAGACGGCTCACGTAAGAAAAACAGCTAGCAAGCACTGGGTGATACCGGCGGGGAATTTGAAATTGAAAGAGCTTGAGTCATAAAAGGAGCGAACGCCAAAGTTGTCGACGAAAATGGTCATATGGGATTCGAGTCATCGAGGCTGTCGACAAAGAAAAGGACAGGTGTCAAGTTAGGAAGAGCTCGACGATGGTTCCTGCTTCGTGGAGGATAGGTGTCAAGAAGAGAAGAACTCGATGACGATTATCACCCTCGGAAAGGACAGGTGTCAGGATGAGAAGAACTCGATGACGATTACTGCTTCGAGAAAGACAGATGTTAGGATAAGAAGAGCTCGATGACGATTACTGCTTCGAGGAGGACAAGTGTCAAGACGGTATAGGCTTGATGACGGTTACTACCTCGAGAAGGACAGGTGTTAAGATAATATGAGCTCGATAACGGTTACAGCTTCGAATAAGACAAGTGTCAAGACAATATAAGCTCGATGACGGTTACTACCTCGAGAAGGACATAAGTCAGATGGTATGAACTCGACGACGGTTATTACCTCGGAACAAAAAGATAAGATCGATAGCAGTTGGCGAACAGATGTCATTAGATGGACGGTGATGATGAGATCAATGGCGATTATCAAATGCGGTATCAAAGGCAGTTACCAAGCCCATATTATAAATAGCACCCGGCTACCAAAGGAAAGCCCCCCGTGAACACAAACCAAAATGCTGTCTTTCAATTATCTTTACTTTCTAGTACCGTACCTTTAGTTTCCATAGCGTAGTTGTCTACTTCCTAAGCTAGTAGCTTTGTAATGTTGCATCATTGAACTTCGGACTCTGCCAATAAGTGGACAAATTCGTCTGAATTATCTATAAATATAAGTCAAACTTCGTTACTGTGCGAAATTTGAGTTATTGATCAAGACAATCAAGCTATTTGTTCACGCCTGGATAACTCCTGTCCGGAATTAGACACGGAACCCGGTCTCCTCTAATTAAAAATTGAAGAACAACTTTCGGTGAATTATATTTCGTCACGGGAACGTTTCCGGCGAAAAAATCGGTTACCAATTCTCATTTGAATTAATTATCAATATTTATTAATTTTTTTAATATTTTCGAATTTTATAATCGTTTTAACTTTTATGTGCAAGCAATGCTTTAAATTTACCTACTTTTCTAAGAAATTATCAACCTTAATTAGAATAACTTACAATTTTTCTGTAATATCTACTAGTTTTGGATTACCAACTCAAATTTGAGTTAC